CTATGGTATGCCTCACGCCATGATTCGGGAATATTCTTTATTTTCGAATCAGGTCGTGACAACATGTATTTTAGTTTGTGAGTATTAGATGATTGTTTAGTACACCAGAACTCAAGTACGAACTTAAAATTAATATTCCATATCTTATCTGAACTTTCTCAGGCTAAAAAAATAAATTAATAAATTAAAAAAATAAATAAATAAATATATATATATAGAGTAAATCTTTCATGATTTTGCAAAAGGCAAAAAGTTTTGGTCATTGTAGTTTGTTGAATTTATCATTTTAGTCCTCATAGCTTCATTTATGTCAATTTTAACTATGTAGTTTTAAATCCCTCGTAATTCAAGGACATGTTACAAATTCAGTCAAATTCTTTCAAAATATCATTTCATGTTAGGGATACGTGCTTACTCAATCACAAAATTAGACGAACATTTGGACATGTCTTTAAATTGCGATAGATGTCAAACTATATGAATTAAATTGTTAAAATTAAAACCACAAAAACAAAAGTGAAAAATCCGATAAACTATTAGGAAAAAATATACCACTTTTTGCCTTTGTAATATCATGAAACTCATACCCTCCGAGGGAGATGAGATACGTCTTGGTGTCTAACATATTCACGACATACTTCCATAACTTTTTCTACTCCCAATAAAATTATCGTTTGTTTCCACGTAACCCCCCATTTAAAAAAGTGGGTCCCAAATCCCAAACCATGAGTGGATGGAGAGTAAATCGTAAATAATGCATGCATTAATATAATAGGGCTGAGTGGGAGGCTGAGATCAGTCCTCTATAGACGGCCGACGTAGGGAATCAGTGGCGCATTTTTGTCATCATTCCCCCCGGTATCATACCAACACCTAATTGTGGTATCAAACTCTAAATCATTGTCTTATTAGTGGTTCTATTAAACAAATAATCTGCCCACTTTTACATATCGCCCTCCACGTTATATGTATTTTACCAAAGTGCCATTTCTCTCCTCTACTTAAAATCACACGTATTAGTAATAATTACTTAATTGGATTTTTACAAGCCCAAATTAGCATTAAAAGTGCTAGCTGGTCTGAAATAGGGGGTCATTCTTTGCGTGGGACGAACAAATGATAGATAGGGCAACTTCATGTGTGCGTCTGTGTGTTCTGATTCGGATTTCATGGCATGTTTCCTCTATTATTTTAGATTTTGGTATTACCTTGGCACGCATTCGCAAATGAAAAACCCACCGACAAAGAAGATCGGAAAGTAATATTGATTTGATTATAGCTTCGAATTTGATACGATGTTGTGATAACAATGTACGTGTGGCATATACTCAAATTATATCGATTGATCACACTATATGGCAATTGATATGAAAATGCGACCACTTTATCGTTATTTATAAAAATACCCAATCCTAGACATGTATTTATAAAAATACCCAAGCATTATTTAAACATAGAAACATACTCAAAATGGGTTTTGGGTATGTGTGTAATGATGGGTTTTGGGTATGTTTATAAATGGGTTTTGAGTGTGTGTAATGATGAGTTTTGGGTATGTTTATAAAGTGTTTTGGGTGTTGGGTATTTTTATAATTTCAGCCCCCATTTTGGGTATTTTAGTGAAACTCCCTTTATTTTATTGGTACTTCTTTTTCTTTTTTTTGGTTTGAACCGCGAGGTGGTCCTGGATGGGCCCCAACTATGGGTGGCACCTTTAAGCCTTAACCACAATCCAGACTAATCCCCGCTCACACCGGGTCGGCCCGTAAGGGGTAAAGTGGTGCTGGCCAAAGTGGTGGTACTTCTCTTTTAATATTGAACGATGTTTGAAGTCAAAATTTGATACTCTCTATTATTTAAAATAAAATAAAATATAAGTATTTTAAAATTTTGTTTAAATAATTATAAAAGTTGTAATTGAAAAGTAAATGTGATGTATAGTCATTTTTTCTGCCTTTGTTGAGTGTTTAACAAATATGTATAACGGCTATACTATTTTATAATTCTCCTATGAAAGCCCGTGGGTTTTCCCCTTTCATCTCTATTGTCCAGCAAATTAAAGCAAAAGACAACCAACATGCATAATATATAAAATGTAAATATCTCTTGAATAAAGAATTATTTTTAAATATAAATAAATAAATTCTCTGGCCATAACAAATTTTTTATAACAAAAAAATAGTAAATCCCAAGCATTATGTCTGCCATTTAATCTGCAAATTTCTTTGCCCATGTCCTCCATGACACACAAAACATGCCCCCACCATGCACTTTGGAGGGGCACAAAGTACAAACCCAAGTTACAGAAGGGATGGGAAATCCGTAATTAAACAAATTTTCCAATGGCAAATGCCACCACCATGTCCTTAAGCTTTATATAATTTCGAACCATATATATATATATATATATATGCTACCACCATTTGCTCCATTGGCAGCTCCTAAAACTTCCAAAACCCACCACCCCAAAAAATGCAAGCCAACCTCAACCCCTTCCAAATTATTTCCAAACAAATCTTCCCTTCACTGGTAAAGCTACCTCCGGTGCGCCAATCTCCGTCACCAGTGCACACCATACCACCGCGTGCAATATCAATCTCCACACCCAACGAAACCGATCGCAGTCCAATTACCATTTCAACCCTAGACGTAGTAGATGACTCCGTGGCTGCATTTTGGGACTACCAATTCCTCTTTGTGTCACAGCGCTCCGAACAAACCGAACCCATCGCGCTCAGAGTCGTGGATGGTTCGGTTCCGTCGGACTTTCCCTCCGGCACGTACTACTTGACAGGGCCGGGGCTCTTCGCCGACGACCACGGCTCCACGGTGCACCCATTGGACGGCCACGGCTACCTTAGGGCTTTTAAATTCGATGGGTCTGACGAAGATGTAAAGTTCATGGCTAAGTACGTGAAAACTGAGGCTCAAGTGGAGGAGCACGACCCTTTGACTGACACGTGGCGGTTCACGCACAGGGGGCCGTTTTCGGTGTTGAAAGGTGGACAGAAGGTTGGGAATACTAAGGTGATGAAGAATGTGGCGAATACTAGTGTGTTGAGGTGGGGCCAGAGGCTGTTGTGTTTGTGGGAAGGTGGGGACCCGTATGAGATTGAATCGAAGACGTTGGATACGATCGGGAAGGTAGGTCTGATGGACGGTTGTGATTCGGGGGTGGAGAGTAGAGACCATGGTGGCGGTGTATGGGATGTGGCTGCAAGATTGCTCAAACCAATTCTGTACGGTACGTGTGTGTATATAGAATAAAATTAATAGATGAGACTAATGGTGAACAAAACAAAGTAAATTGCTTTGGCTGGCTTTGGGGGAAAAAAATTAAAAGATGAGTATGAGCTGTAAATTTGGAGAGTAAAGATTAAAATATTTGTGAATAATACACAGAAGTTATGAACATTTGATATTTAACTAATAGTCTTATATAAAAAGGTTACGGAGGTTTTTGTTTAAACAGATGATGACGAGAAAATCTAAACAGAGAATCCGAATCCACATTTTGTTATATAGTTGTTTAATATTGTTCATCGTATTAAAAGGTATATACCTTGTACAGGAGTTTTTAAGATGCCTCCAAAGCGACTGTTGTCTCATTATAAGCTCGATGCTCGCAGAAACAGGCTTCTTATGGTGTCGTGCAATGCAGAGGATATGCTATTGCCATGCAGTAACTTTACATTTTATGGTAATTAAGGGCAAATGCATGAGCTCTTTTATTTAATTATTATGTTGATTTTGAATATACATAATATTTTTCTTCGTATTTGTGCAGAATATGACTCAAATTTCAAGGTGTTGGGAAAGCAAGAGTTTAACATACCGGATCACTTGATGATCCATGATTGGGCTTTCACAGACACTCACTATATATTATTTGCCAATCGCATCAAGCTTGATGTTGTCGGTAGGTTAATTAAATAAGTTATCGTCATTTTTTAATCATT